TTCAAAATGTGTCTCTATCGCCGTATCCTAAAAATACCATGGACAGCGAAAATCACAAATATAGATGTCCTTAAAAGAATAAACCAAGAACGCCAACTTTTCGAAACCATCAAGAAAAGGAAAACGGCGTATCTAGGTCACATCATGCGAAATGAAAAATACCAGTTCCTCCAACTTATAATCGAGGGTAAAATTGAAGGCAAGAGAGGAATGGGACGCAAGGAAATGTCCTGGCTCCGAAACATAAGGCAATGGACAGGGATTAACCACATACAATCTCTGATACATATTGCAAGAAATAGAGAATTAATGGAAAATGTGATCGCTAACATCCATTAGTGGAATTGCATCTGAAGAAGAAGAAGAAGAGATGTATTTTGCTTTACTCTTGATGAGAAAGTTACAGTTCTGATACAACTGGTGCAACGAACACGTAATGTGTGATGAATTCACAAGAAATAGTATAAGACGGTCAGAATATCAATAGAGAGAAATGGAAACTATTTATAACCTAAAAACTTTAAATACCAACTAAGAATAAACACTAAAATAAGCAAGCTGAGCTTCACAGCAAGACATAAAATGGTGTCTGAGCCACGTATTGCCACGCCAACTGTGTTACCAGGTTTTTTGCAATTTAATAAAGTGTTAAAACATTGAAAAATGTTGTGGAAACAAACGCATTAATATATTACGTATATAGCTCAATTATGTATCTCTTTTGTAAAAAAAAAATTGAATTTTACTAGGTGTCTCTGATATTGAATTATGCTTCTGATCAAGCCTAAAACAGTCAAGCAGAAAATAGTTTAGATTATAATAAAACTTATCACTTCCTTCTAATAAAAAGCATATTAAATTTGCTATAATACTTATGAAAAAATTCACTTTTTATTCATCAACAAATTGATTTCCAATACCTTGAAACTCGCCGAGGACTATTTAACAACACAACGAATTATTTATGGTTTAATTTGCTATTATCTGAAGTTCATTCGTTATAAAGGGGAACTATCTCAAAGTTAAGCAATAAGTTAAATTATTTACGAGCTAATGGCAAACGAATGATATTTAAGTAGAAGTAAATGTTGACAATGACTCGCCGAACATTACACCGATAATTCAGCTACGCCAGATGGTAGGTTAGGTTTTAGTTTTTTTAGACATATTCAAAGGATTTACGCAGCCTGTAAACAAAAATGTAACTATAATATATTATAGTGCATATAAATATAATAGTATTTTGTGAGTTTATATTTAACAATAAAACTGCCTTTACAATTGACAATATAAGCTAACTTTCTCCAAACTCTTACACTTTTTGTAAGAGATGCCACACTAAAATATTTTCCACCTAAGAAGACCGCTTTGCAATTAAATGCTGTTAACTTTATTACTAGCGGACCAGATAAGCGGCGATTTATTTTACACTACTTTTATGAATAACATTTTACTGCTCTGTTGTTTCAATCAGCATTACTCAACAAGTTATCGTTTATTGGTTTTAATATTTAATTGCAATAGTACGAGTACGGAATATTTATTTAAACAGTGAATTTAAGCTTTTACAAAAACATATTATTTGAAAAATAAGGAGTAAATATAATGTGTCATACCAATTTTAATCTCCTTTATACACACTTCAAAAAATTTGTTTAGTAATGTATTTCTTAAATCAACACAATCATTGAAAAATTATTCATGCTGTTTAAAAATATCTTTCTGTTAACGATACTGTCATCGACAAAGTAGATCAAATTCTTACGTCTTCATATTTCTCTTCTGTTTATCGTTAAAAATTAATTGATGGTCGTGGCTTGTATTGGTGCTATTTAATAATTTAACAACATACATAATCAGCAAAAATCTTATTTAAAACATGCGAACGGTTTTTGCAATCAGAATAAATGCAGTGTTTATGCTTGTTTAGCATTGGCTGTTCAATAATTTGTGTTCAATTTTTTCGTCTAATGTACAACCCTCGTCCTTTTTAGGGTGTAGTAGTTGTATATAAGTACCTATTTTTTATAGTAGTTTAGTGAAGCGGTATTTTAAAGCAAAATGAGTAATTTGGATGAAAATAAAATAAAGTCGAAACATAAAGCTTTATCTCCAGGAGAACGGCGTTTCGTTCCAAAAGTCGAAAGTTATTTTAATTTGAAAAAAAAATAATATGGGTCGATCGACATCTGTTATTTCAGTTCAAAAACGCACATGTGATGCTTGCGGTATCTCATAGAGGACATTCCGAAGAATTAATACATGAGTAAGGATGAAATAAATAAAGTAGCAAGTCGACATCCAAAAACTTTAGATTTGCACCAGTCAATTAAACTTGCAATTAAAAATATTATATATAATATGTATAAAGCCAAAGAACATGTAACAGTTAGTGCTGTGTCACAAAAAATAAAAGAGAAGGAACTGTGTGATATTAGTTTAACAAGTTTGTGGATAGTGCTGAATCATTCAGGTTTTCGATATAAAAAGACAAATAATAGACAAGTTTTGTGTGAACTCTCTAATGTTGTGTCAAAACGGTGGCATTTTTTAAGAAAATACATGAACACAATAAAACGTCTGATAGTTCGGGGCAAGTTGTATTTTTAGATGAAACTTTCAAAATCATCCTGACAAGAAGATGGCACCACGAAATGTTATTCTTCTAGTTGTTCCGGTAATGGTAAACGCTACATTATACTTCATGCTGGAAATGATTAGGGTTTTATTCCTGACACTAGTTTAATTTTTTCGCCCACAAAGAATACAGGTGATTATCATGGAAATATGGATGCAAATATTTTTGTAGAATGGTTTGAAGAAAATTTGTTAAAAAAATTGGAGCGACCATCCATAATAGTGTTCGATAATGCATCCTACCACTCAAGAGTAGAAGAGAGATTTCCTTCAAGCAGCTGGACAAAAGAAGAAATAAAGTTGTGGTTGACAGAAAAGAAAATTTATCACAGTGACATATTTTTAAAAGTCGATTTACTTCAAAGGTGTGGAGAGCACAAAATTCAAAAGAAATTTGTTACTGACCAAATGGCTCCTAAATATGGCCATGAAGTTCTTCGACTTCCGCCCTACCATTGCCACTATAATGCAATTGAGTTAGTTTGGGGTATAGCCAAAAATTTTTATGATAAACATGCATCCAAAACAACACATGACGCTAGCGTTCTTAGTTTATGGAAAGAATCGCTAGAACAAATAAAGGCAGAACAATGGCAATATTGCATTAGACATACGGAAGATATAATCGTTCAGTCTTTTCAAACAGAGCGAGTTATAGATGAGGTCCGGCCTCTAATTATTCGGATAGACAATTCAGATAGTGACGATGATAGTGAAATATCAGACAGTAAATAGGACAAATCGATAGACGGGAAAAGACGATGAGGAAATAAAGAAAAGGGTTACACAAGCTAGAAGAACAATTGGCTGCCTAAATGGTCAGGCGTTTACTTGGAGGCGTTCCTATGATACCATTGGTCGAGGGGCGTGTCCTAGAGACAAGAGGGGCGTACCTACATCACCATTTGACGAGGGCGTGGCCTTGAGACACGAGGGACTTCTTACGTCACCAGAGGGGCATGGTCTTAGTGACAGGTCGCTTCCGCTCCAGAAGTAACACTGTTTATCTACTTGTATTGATGCGAATTAAGCTGATACGGCTACGTAAGAACAATGCCAGAAAACAAGGCAAACTCGCAAGCAAGAGGGAGGTGTAGTTCAGGAAAGCCACAGAGAATCTAGAGGGAGGGTATAGACAGAAAAATGAGGGAAAGAGAACTAAATGATGATCTGTGGAATTAGATGGATATTGTAAATTGGAAGACGTCGAAGAAGCTTAACCGAGTATCTTCTTCAGCTTTTCTCTATCTTTTCGATAAAGGACTTTCTCATATAGGCTTCCAGTTTATCTCCTTTAAACTAGGCTAGCCGGTACCAATTTAGCCCGGTGTTGTATATCACCGTACCATCTTTTTTGCGGTCTTCCCAAGAACAAACCGAAGGATTTTTGCGGTAATAATCATTTTATCATATTTTTGCACTTTATGTGCAACATGATCTTCCATAGCCATCACACAAATTGTAATAAATTTATATGCATCATATATCAAATTTATATACCCTTATACAATAAGTATACAGCTTGGGCTAGAGATAAATACTAACGTGTAAATTTGATGCCAAAATCTGCCAAGAGATTTTGCAGTCATCCGATTTTTTTAGGCCCAAGAATAAAATCCTGATTTAACACGATTCCATTCTTCACCAAATTTCATGTATTGTTACATCAGTCACGCGAGGCCCTAGGCCTCAACATAAGTGGGAGACAAAAATATTGTATTGTAAAAATTCTCTCTTTTATAGTTGAAATCCTTAAATAAAATCTTCACGTGCTGAAGTTGTTCAAGGTTTCCCACATCCATGACGACGAATATGGATGATTCTTCTAATTATATACACTAACACTCAACACTGTAACCCTATTTACACATTCGTATCTTAGGCATTCGGAAATTTGTTAATATTAAAGATATTCTGTAAATGGTTCTTAGGCATAACTGAGTTAATTGTGACCAATAATCACTGGATAAATAAAAAAGCTCGGGTTCGTTCGGATAAGATATTTCCATGAGATTTTTTTGCATAATCACGTTCATGAGATACCCCAAAGTAAGGTTTAACAGGTCGCTCAGACGAAAAGTTGTTCAAATTATTTTAAACAATTTTTTGTAAACAAATTGTAGCAATAAATTCTTTCAGCCCGGATAATTTTTTTTTATATGTTATTTGGATTATTCTGAACAGAAAAGGTCTGGAAAAATCTTGTAAAAACTAAAAAAAATTGTACGAGCCGAAAAAATTTATTGATACAATTTTTTTGGAGTATCTTATGCAAAAAATCTCTTAGGATTATTTTTCGAAAAAACCCGAGCTTTTCGCGTTGTCTTCATGTTAAAACTATTTCTTTGTGTAAAATTTCTTACCAAGTTCTAAAGTAATCCTCTATTATGAAGTCTCCATATTTACTATGACTTGTACCACATAACCTTGTGGTATTTTGGCTTCTTCAACATGAAGTTTGTCACCTAACAATTTACCCCCGTAAAACCACCTTTGCCTTGAAGATTCTATTCCTTCTTGACTCTGCAACAAAAAAATATTCGATAAAATACAAGAAATTAGTATAAGAATATAATTTTATGGCATATGGTATTAAAATATAGATCTTAGATGTAGCAACATATAGCTGTTTCTGGTTGATCTAGCTAGAAACTAAGTTTATACAAGAATTTTATACAGAGATTATACTCTTCTCGTCTACGGACCGTTCAGGGCATTTTAATAAATAATACAAGGCAGGCATTAAATATATTAGGTACATGTGTTGAGGAAAATCATAAGGAACAAATAATCGTAACTGTTCAAATTTATTTTTTATAAATAAACTCTGTTGCTAAAGATGGCTATAGTTGTAAAATAATTGGAAATAATCAAATTAAAGTTTTACCGAACAAAAAAAAGCGACTATTCGAACATAATCAAAATATTAATAGAGAAAATAGTTCCACACTTATCAACTCAAGCAAAAGCGTACTAGTTATAGAGTGGTCCCGAAAAATGTGCACTATTCGATTGATATGCCTACGCTAACAGCTGAAATCGAAAGACATGGTCATAAAATTAGAAACATTTTAAACATTGGATATAATAATATACACAATTATAAATAAATTAGAAAACATTATTACTAGATTAGCAGATAGATTAGACGATTTATCAAGTCGCCTGGCAGTACTCGAATCCAGAATCATTTAAATGGCTATTATACTTAAACTAGCAACATGGAACGCCAACGGTATGGCTCAACACAGCCAAGAGTTAAAAATATTTTTAATTGCAAATCAAATTGATATAATGCTTATTTCCGAAAGCACGTTACAGGTAAACGTTACTGGAAAATGCCAAACTATACCACAAAGCATCCTGGTTCCGCCATAATTATCAAAAGCAGTTAAAACATTACGAACTACTTACTGGCAACTAAAATACCGCACCTGCAGGCCACAAACATAGTAATTGAAGACTGGAGTGGGCCAATCACTATATAATCATTATACTGTCTACTACTACTATCAGTAAATAAATTTTCTGAATTTTTTAAATCACTTGGATCAAGGTTATCATTACATATTTATAGACTCCAAAGCAGCCTACGACTCCGTGAAAAGAAGAGAAATGTTCAAGGCAATGAAAGAGCTAGAAATACCAAAGCAGATGGTAAATTTAACAAAACTAGCTCTTGAAAAAAACTAGAGTATTTGGGTCACATAACCAGAGGAAAAAAATATGAGCTGCTGAGAATTATTATGCAAGTAAGGATCCAAGGAAGAAGAAGCATAGGAAGAAGACGCATCTCCGGGCTGAGGAACCTTAGAGAATGGTTTAACTGTAGTTCACTACAACTTTTCAGAGCAGCAGCCAACAAAATGACCATAGCCGTTATGATATCCAACCTCCGATAGGAAATGGAACTTTAAGAAGAAGAAGCTCTTAAAAAAGTTGAATGTAGAGTACGAATTCAGGGGGAATTGTCTAAACCTTTTAAAACAAATAACGGGCTGCGCCAGGAAAACCCTCTCTCCTGTATACTGTTGAATGTGGATCTGGAAAAAGTAAAATGTATGTCACAAATCACAACCACTGGTTCAATATATAATAAATCAGTGCAAATCCTGGCCTATGCTGATGATATGAATATTGTTGAGAGAACGAAAAACGCTGTACGAGTGGCGTATGTAGCATTAAAAGAATCATCTACAAAAATGGGTTTAATAATAATCACCAACAAAACGAAGTATATGGAAATAAGCACGCAACCACAAATACTACGACCACTTGTTATAGAAAACGACGTCATCGAAGAAGTGAACGAATTTGTATACCTGGGAGCGCCCCTTAACACTGAAAATAATACTACCGCAGAATTTGGACGGCCAACAGATGCTATTTTGGGCTCGATCTCCTCCTTAAATCTACAATTATATCGAGAAATACAAAAATAAAACTCTACAAAACTATAATACGCCCAGTCCTAACATATGGTTCAGAGACCTGGACTCTAACAAAAAATAATGAAAACATGTTAGGATGTTTTGAAAGAAAAGTACTAAGGCGCAGGCCCGTTCCTAGGGTAGTGAGCGTCTGCGTGCAGGATTTTTTGTGCGCCCCCATATTATGTTTTTAAGATACCTATATCATAACATGTTCTTGTGATATGATTGAAAATATGATATGAATGTAAAAAGAAAAATAAAACGAACCATGTTTGAAAAAGGGTTTTATTTTTAAAATTAAATAAAGAAAAAAGGTCATTTTAAAACAATATTATTATGTAAGTTAACAGTAAGAAAGAAAACACTCAATTCGCAAATTAGTAAGGCATTCTGGAATATAACATGAAACAATAACGGAAAGGAGATACTCTCAATGCAAAAAAACTTTATTAAATAATACATAATATGCCACGTCGTGCTTTCACAGATGCAAGCTCATTAATCATTTCATTGTGATCAATGGCTTCACAAATTTTATTTTCAATTGAAATGACTGCCAAATCTGATAGCCTTTCTTGGCACATTGATATTCTTAAATAATTTTTTATGAGCTTTAGCTTTGCAAAACACCTTTCGCCAGATGCCACCGAAATTGAAAGGGTCAGGAATATTCTCAAGGCTATAAATAGATTTGGAAACAAGGATTGTAAATTTTTCTTTGTTATATAATTTAAAATATCTATGGGCGAATCCGAAATTTTACCAGAGTCTGTGATTGGGTTAAGAACTTTGTATGACAGAATTTCATTATGCAAATCAAGACCATCAATATCTTTGCATACGTTTCCTTCATGTTGAATTTGTAAAGCTAAATCCAAATCCATACATGATCTTTTAATCACATCAAAATCTAGATTTTGAAAATTACCCAAAAATCCAAATAAATCGTGGCCCTTATCTATTCCCCCAAAGCGTTTTTGTAGGGATTGAATTGTTGTGTCCAAAATTTGAAAATAAAAACTGATCTTAAATTTTTGTTTTGGATCGAATACTGTTTTATCTGTACCTTCATACGAAAATTAAAGCTTCGTCTTTCTTTGTCTTAATAATGGAAATGTTTGCTCTGCATCACTTTTTTCTGCTTCTGCTACAGCCTCATTCATGAAAATCTCAAAATGTTTGTCTGACCTCTTTTCAGTGAAATAAATAATAAGATTTTTTATTTTTGTGTGGCATTCAGTTAAAGTTGTATTTGGATTCTGGACCATTTTACTTAAAATATTAATTTTTGTTAATTCATCATGCCAAATTATAATAGAAAAAATGAATTTGAACGTTTTAGTTTTGTCTAATAGTGACCTTGCTGAATGTTTCGTGTTCATATCTCTTGAATTATCTTCCACCAAATCGTGTAAACTTTTACAAATTTCTAGGAATTGAAACCTAAGAGGGCGAATGGCTTTGACTCTGCTTTCCCATCGTGTTTCACTTACTGATTTTAAAGTTAAGTTTGGTACATTCCTTTTTAAAATGTGCCATCTGTAGGGTGAAGTAGAAAAAAAATTGAACAACCTGAATAATTAAAAAAAAACCTACAGTCTTATATGAAATTTTAGCTGCATCATTGACACTTAAATTAAAAGTGTGAGCTGAACAAGGCAAAAACATTGCTCTCGGATTAATTTTTAGAATTTGAACCTGAAGGCCCACATGCTTGCCAAACATATTTGCCTCATTGTTGTAAATTGTTGTAACCCTGACCTAGACCAGAACAATAAACGAAGCGAATTATGACCGTCAGCTGCTCAACATGGCTAGTATCTGGAGATTCATCCAAAATAATTGAGTAATATCTTGCTGTTCTGAGGCAACTCAGAATTTCTTTCTAAATATTTCTTTGATAATAAATGAATTAATTCATTTTGGAAGTAATTGCTCAGGATGTGGCATATTTTGGCACAACCCTTTAGACCTTCGAATATTGCTCAGGTGTTCCATCATAATTGGATCGAATTTAGCAATCATTTCAACTAATTTTAAAAAATTGCCATTATTAGTCTCATAAAGATTCATACTGTCAACCCTAAAAGCTAAATACTGCACAATACAAATCATTCTTTTAATGACTTCACGCCATCGCTGTTTTTCAATTTCATAATATTTTTGTTGCTTTTTATCAATAGTACATTCTTTACTCAAACGCAATTTTAACTCGTGCCATTTTTGAGCGCTTTTCATACGTTCCATGCTATTTTCATGACGAGAAATATTAACAGAAAGGTCTAACCCATAAGAAAAATCTAACGACTGAATTAAAACGTTACGGTTTACTGCGCAAACGACAATTTCGTCAGAGGTCGGCGCATCGCGCATCCTTTCTTAAGACAACCACGCTGGCGGCATGCCGGCAACACAAAACATTAAAAGTGAGCATCGTGCGGCATAAGACGGCGCGTCGTATGCTGACACTAATAAAATTGTAGGGTGGTAATTTAATTAGTAATTTTGGTATTATAATAGGGAATAGTAAACGGATGAAGTGATTGCTTTAGCACTTACCGGGGAAATACTGAACACTGACTTTTTTGTTTTAGAAGTGAGAATATTTTTTTAATGGTAACCAAATATTTGGCGCCCCTAAAATTTAGCGCCTGCGTGCGGGGCATTCATTGCATACCCGCCAGGAACGGCCCTGCTAAGGCGAATTTATGGAGCAGTGAATGAAAAGAGTGTGGAGAAGACGATACAACTTCAAACTTTATAGAATATACCAGGAACCTGATATCGTAAAACATATTAAGAAAGAACATCTGAGGTAGATAGGGCATGTAATGCGGATGGAACAAAATGACCCAGTTAGATAAACGCTTCTTGATAGACCTATTGGTCAAAGAAGAAGAGGAAGATCTAGAACAAGGTTCCTTGATAACATTGATTAAGGGATTACGTGCTTCACGGAGAAAGGCGATGGATAGGAGCGACTGGAGAGAAATTCTTGAGGAGGCTAGGACCCACGTAAAGTTGTAAATCCAGAATAATGATAATGATTGGATCCAGGTTCCTAGCCGATGGTGATTACAATGGAAAACA